GAAGAGATACAACAGGAAGTTTATTAGGAGACTGTGACACTGTTTTGCTTTGTGTCAATGAATATCCAGGAAGGTTCAAGAGGACGGATGAGAACAATCAGTTTTTAAAGACTTGTAACTGCTAAGTCCGTGTTTGCAAACGGCCTTCCTCCCCTCACTTTCAACCATCCCCTTTCTCAATTATGAGATCCGCTTGAATCAAAATGTTTATTTTCTGTAGCCAAAGAAAGCTAGCTACAAAAGATTCGCTTGGGAATAAAAGTACAGAACAAATGGATAAATCACAGAGAAGTGACGGAGCGCGCGTCCCGAGCAACACTACGGAGCAAGGCGTTCGTAGACCCATCCGTCTTCACCAAGATGCGTGATTTTTGGATCGATAGACGCCTGTTCCTCAGGGGTGATTCGCCGAAAGCGAATTCGATCATGCATTCTGGTGCTTTGTCCTTGCCAGAATTCGATCGTATGCGGATACAGCACGTAGCCACCCCTGTGAGAAGAGAGTTCAGAAAAAATACAGCCCGCAGCTTGTGTAAGTAGAGGGGAGAGTTTCAATTTAAGGGAAATCGCCTCTAGCTTGTTGCGCCACCTCATAGGCTTGGCTTGGTGGTTAGCACTGTTTTAAAAATTGTGATCAGGCATGGGGAAGGTGCATTAGATAACAGAGTAAGGGCCACGAGATGAAACCCTGATAGAAACAGTTGAGACAAGTGACGCATTACATCCTAAATGGACTTTATCTGGAATAAAAAATTAAAGCAACATTTGGTCTTCCCAGCGTCACAAACACTTCAACGGCTGTGCAGCGCCTAAGACTAACACAAGTGGAGACGATAACTAGCACTCACCAATTTTTCGGTTTGGGTACAGTCTCCCCTTCAGGGTAGAGATTTTCCAACTCCTTCACGCTGTCCACAAAACTCTAAAGTTATTCAAAAGAAAAGAGACTTCAAAGAGCCATCCAGTGGAAATCAAGGTAAATCAAGGTTATATTGAGAGAAATGAGTGACGCTCAACGAAATCGACAACTTTCAAAGTGACGAAATCCAACAAAATATGAAACAATGGCGAATCGTACTCTGGTCTAGAGATTTGAAGGTTACAAAAGATACGCGACAATAAGCAATGTGGTACGAGCGAGCAGAACGGTGATGACAATCAGTCAGTTACTACGGGTGATACCGATGGATCCGATGAGCATAGTTCGCCAAACTTCAAAACGAAGGACAGATTACATGGCGAGCTTGGTTATTCCCAGCTTTTGTGTCCAACATTGCATTGCCATCAGGAACTGAGACGTCCACGCAACACATCCCTTCAGGTGGCCTAAACAATGCTAGACTGGGTTTGGGGTGTCGAATGAGCACGAATCCTCTTAATGAATAAAGAAAGACAATAAATATTCGTTCATCCGTGACAACTTTTCGGTGTCTAACTGCCATACCACTAGAGGGAAGCACGAGGGCTGGGATACTATCAGGTTGCCCAAGCCCAGCTAGTGGAAGTCGAGAGGCCGAGGTCGGGTTCGAACCATGGACCTTCCGGCCAGTAAACCAGCGCGCTCTAACCTCTTGGACCATCCCGCCCCGTCCCCCTGCTGGCAAGACGATGTCTCACTTTCTGAAGGGCCCATGTCACCTGAAGGTCATACAGGAAGGACAAGCACCCCTAAATGAGGCCTCCCTTCAGATCGAGGAAATTGTGATACCATCGTTATTCGGATCAATGACCTTGGAAATATGATCGAACGTCGCGAGTGGATCCACCTGTCACATCTCAGGAACTTATCCCGTTTAGAACCTGTAGAACATGTGTAAGAGCCTTCACGAGAGCCTTCACGGTAATAAAACATCAAAAGTTGACAGACATGCCTGCTTCACAAGTGCGCATACATTGGATTTATCCACACCGCTATACTACTAACTGTCCGGAGTCGGCTGAATTTGCTGTTACGACAGTTGGAATAAAAGGTTACCACTGAAGTGTATCGTACAGAGTGCAGAACAAAGAGGAACTTTGGCGCAGCACGAGGTCCCTTGTGACTATGACACTCGCTTGTTCCCTGTTGCGAGTCTTTTTTCGGCACTAAGGCACTGGGACGGGGATTGGATGCTCTCTGAAAAGAGAACACTCTAGTTCTACACCAAACGGTAGTAAATTGATAGGAATGAGATTATTTCGGTGTCGGAAATAGGAAAACAACTCTTTCAGATGTTTTCTGGGAAGTGATTGTGGCGCGTGTGTGGAAGAGATAAACGTTGTCACATTCGACGATTCCCGATCGAGGATGGCGATAAGGTTGATTTTCGGGATGGCTGGTGACCACTCGTCACACAGTCGGAGTGAAGCGGAGCGCTGGGAACGGTAAGCGAGACCAAGTAGTCTCGCTTGTGTGTATGGATAGAAGAGGTAACAGAGGATTATGGACCATTTGCATAAAAAGAGGGTAATATGGGGAAGAGTAGGCTATGCGACTGTCAACTCTGCATCATGTCGAGAACAGAAAAGCAACTAGAAACGTACCTTGGGAAAAGACGGGCAGAGCAGTTCGCAGTCCGAGGCGGGTCGCAAGTAATACTCTGCCCCCCCCCCTGTTATCTGGCCAAATCAACCACAGTTCAACTGTCATAGGCGGTTCTATTCTTGTTTTATTTTTAGTGGCTGAATATACCAGAAGGGAGTGAAGAAAGTTATGGAAAGTTTGGGTTGCGTTGGTGCTGTTAATTAGGTGGCCGTTGACCTGTTCGCCGACCTTGGCTTGCAAATATTTCGTCGCCACGTGAAGAGACCTCGTCACTGCGCGGTTGGATTGGTGCTATTTGCCTTCCAGGAGGCGAATCCACGTGACCCATCCCATGATTGGCTGGCGATAACGTGTTGTCAATCTCTGAATGTTGGGAATGAAGGCAGCTCGGATGATGGTGATCGGCTGGCCCGAGGTCGCCTCCCTCTCCATTTTAGTTCCTTTATAAGGCTTTATTCAAATATACTAACATGGTCGTACGGCAACGACCGTACTATTAGTGGTAGTGCCTGATTGCTTTGCTTCACGAGACCAGGTGCCCCATTATTTGTCCCCCTGCGATATCGTAGTGGATTACAGCGATGTACGACCCATCGAGTGAAAGTACAGGTCAATATTGCGAAGTACAACGCAACAGTCAGGGACATAAAAAAAATAGGGGTTTTACCTGCCGGCTCGGGATAACGTGACTTTGGGGACTAGCCATGGCAGCAAGCTGGCTTTGTCTGGGTCGTTTCGAAAAATACTCAGCGCTCTCCTCTTCTGGCAGTCGCGTTACCGTTCCCTCAACACGTACCTGTAAGAATGTCGACAAAAAAATGCGACCGTTCGATTAACCGTGAAGAGAACGAAAACAGGAAGAAAATACTGCCAATAACCAGCAAACTAAAGCATTCAGTATAGTACATCTTACCAGTTATAAATCGTGCTTCGACTTGTGTTCACCCGGAAGTGGGCAGCCGATAAGTGGATGTGATTGTACATTTAGATGTTACTGCAGAACACACTTAAGGCTACGATAATCGCTCAGCTGTAATACCCTTTCGGTGCCCAACTGCCATGCCACCCGAAGGTTGCACGAGGGCTGGGATACTACCACGTTGCCCAAGCCTAGACAGGGAAAGTCGAGAGGTAGAAGCCGGGTTCGAACTAAGGGCCTTCCAGTCAGTAGATTCGCAATCTAACCATTTGGGCCATCTCGCCTTGTTGCCTATTGATCATGGCGTTCACATCTTTAACTGTCAAACCACAGAGTCATACCCTTTATATCGTTCACATTCTTCAAAAGGCTTGGTGGAAACCTTCTCCGAGGTGGGGTTTAATTGCACGAAAAACAAGCGGCCACACCAGCGCGGCCTATGGTCTTTAGTGCTAGAGTTTTATCTTCCAGAAACCATCTGACGTACCTCGGCATTGCTTAGTCGTTCAGCTGTAACGCCCTTTCGGTGCCTATCTGTCATGTCACCCGAAGGAAGCACGAGGGCTGCCAGGTTGCCCAGATAAAAGAAACCAAAATGCAGAGGTCCGGTTCGAATCACGGACCTTTCGGTAAATAAATTCGTGCTCTAACCCGTGAGCCACCTCACCCGATTGCTTAGTCACTAGCTCATAGCAGCGCTTTGAATGATTAGACGATGAAATATTTACTGACTTGCTGCACAAGGACCAAACACACCACTGATCAATAAAACAGTATACACCGGTACCGGTATACAGCATAATGGTTGGTAAACAGCTAAAATCGATCGGCATTAAAGGTTGTTTAATTTTCCAAACAGAACCGACCACCGTCACATGAACTCAATAAGCAATGATTGGAAAAGGCAAGGAACTGTTCGTAATGATGAAAGGGGCGGAGATTTCTGTGACAAAATATCCAAACTTCTGTGCGTGTTTTTGTGCACAGTGCAGATTGCCGCTTTGTGCGCTACGTTTTTTACGGTGGAATCTCAAAGAGAGATACCCCCAACGGAGAAGAAACGATCCCCTCAGTTGCTCTGTCTTCAAAGACCCCTTAGTCATCAAGAGTAAAATCAATAAACGAACAACGACAGATATGCCAAACTTTCTGTTGCAAAAAACAGTAACCAATGCACCTTTCTTTACCGCGAGAATAGACATTGAATTTACACGGGTTTTATGACCAGGCGCTGCATCTATACCGCGTCCGATGAGGAGACTAAGGTCCTGGATATGTGGTAACGGGTGATAAGTGCACTGCAACACCGTGCGCCAAAACAAAACCTCTACCCTGTGAGAAACAGGACATCATATGAGAACCGTGCTAGCGTCGACGTTTATTGAAAGACAGCTGATTTGCATCAACCCTTCACGAAGACACACGTACTTCATGAACTGTCTCTTACATCCACCCGGAGGTTTGTACAGAATCCAAAGTAAACAAACTTCGCGTACAGTTCCACGGACGTAAACACGTAATGTACACAGGTATTGTTTGGCATAATGGACCCTGAGACTATCGTAAGAGGTCATCAACAAAATACTTGTTGACCTTGGCGTATCATATACGAACAGATATGACAGCGCTACTTTCTTTAAACAGAAGGAGACAGCGGAACACCAAGCAACAGCGTCGGACATGAATATATATGTGTGAACTCACCTGACGATGAAGGGGTTCCCAGTAAAACAAGAGGCTAGCGTTCGGATTGGACTCCTGTCACTGGGATTACCAAGTGTGAGGCAAATCTCACCAGTTCAATCGCTTTGCGGCTCTCATAGTTTGTGAAAAATGAAAACCCACGTTCGTCTAGTTCTTTCAGCAGTACATAACGTACACTTGGAATTCCAGATCTGTTTGAAAAAGATGGAAGTAAATCAAACGACCTCGGACATGTCGGCTTTTCAGAGAGTAGCTACAAAGCAATCAAAACGACCGTAAAAGAGAACATGCTGAAAAGCTGGGCTGCTACATGGAGCTGAAACGTCAACAGGGACTCAGAGGTTGAGAAACTAACTGTTGACCGAGTGATCTACAACCGGAACGCTTTCGATGCCTCTCGATGGCTTCCGTTTATTTTCTGACGAAGTGGGATCACGGCTCCCCCAGTCTGTACACCAGCTACGGTAATCCTTCAGAGAACACCGCTGAAAAAGGGGTACACTGGCTCTTTCTGAAGCCAGACCCTACTAGCGGTCACGAAGAGACTGAAGGTATGACAGTTTCTGTGACTACGCGACCTCCCACACAGCCTTCTGGTCCTCCAGGGTGGGGATTAGAATATGTGTGACGAATTATCCTACGAAAATGGTACTGCGCATGCATCCCCCCCGCCAAACACCACTGCGTTGTAGTCGGGATTTTGAGCTAAAGGCTTTGATGGGTGAGTCTAATCGTCCTCCTGTCTAGTTCCTGGCGACCCTGGCAACGTCCCACCACATGTGAAACCATGACACTTTTAACTAGCAATACGGCAGCGAAGCATCAGTGCTGGACACTGAGGTGAGGTTACTAAGGGACGTTTGGTCCATTCCCGTTGTGGCTGCTAACTCTGATATGATCGTCAGGTGTTTGTCTGAGTGATGCTGAAATGTCGGCAAGACCGACTGACTTGTTCAGCTGTCGCACCCTTTCGGTGCCTAACTGCCACGCCACCCAAAGGTTGGACGAGGGCTGGGATACTGCCAAGTTGCCCAAACCTAGACAGGAGAAGTCGAGAGGCGGAGGTCGGATTCGAACCACCTGATCAACAAGCAATAAACCCACCCGAGCTACCAATATTTCAACACATTACCGACTTTTAGTTCACCTTAGTCCTTCATCTGTTCTTCCACTGATCTTTCTCCTTTACTTGCTGGATTTTGGATTGGATCTTATCTCCCACAAAGGTATATGTTTCTGCTGCAAAGATCAGTGACCCAATGACAATAGCAGTATCCAACCCTTCTCACTAATGAGTATCTACGTTTAACGCACACCACGAACTGGTCTTCACTGTGGCGCTTCGCGTAGGGAAACTCGGGTGGCCGGCTTTTCAAATCGCAGAAGGACGCAACCAGTCGCATGCGCTTTCTGTCCTTTTTCAAGAATGGGAACAATGTGTTCTGCACACTTCGGCTCGACAAGATTCTCACTAGAAATGATTTGAACATCCGGTTTTACAGATCTCCCAGAGTTCGCCTCATCACTTCATCAATGACGATATTGAGCAGAAAATGAAACCAGTGGATATCCGTGTCAGACGCGACTGCTTGTAGGAAAAATTTTAAAGAGCCCTACGTCAGATCATGCGCCCACATGTAAGTGCAAACAGCGTATGATATTCACAAACTTCTAGGACATCGTGTTGAGCAAGCGTGCTGAAAAGAGCCAACAGGATGACAGAATCAGATGCACTGTTGAGGTCAAGGAAAACCAAGATTGTAAGACACCCGCACGCATGCTGGTGCCATAACATTTGACCATGTGTGAAGATGTGGTTCACAGTCCCTTCCCAGCCGTTCTAGCGTCAGTCTACACGCGGCTCTGTAACACGGCGCAAGATAAGCAACGCAAGGAATGGTCAGACTAATTTCCGTGATTGAAATTTACAGCGGTCGATTCACTCTAGTTGGCTGGAACGGTCCCTTTTGCCCAGATAGAGGCAAAAAAAGTTATGCAATGACTTCACCCCATCTTCAAACAGAGCGTGCAGGAGTTTGTAGTGACCCGATGACACTCGAGAGAAAAAAGTTATCCGATCATTTCCGAAGCTGTCAGCGGTTCTGATGGGAGCTGGGAAGTCGGCCGAGCAAATGCAGATGGCCAGTTGCGCGTCTCCATAGCACCCAAACAAGCAGAAAAATGCGCTACCAGAACAAACCATTGAGGACAAGAAAAATGTGTGCATCCTAAGTTCGAACAGTTTTCTCTCACGCTCTCGAGTTCTGTGTACCTAGACTTATCCACATCATAAACAGCAACATCCAGTGGTAGATATTGATACTCAACTTATGTGACTACAAAAAATCCCATAGCAAAGGGTTGATAGAAGGGCTTTTCGTGAAAAAATCGTCCCATTGGGTAAAGCGACAAAGAATAAGATGTCTATGCTTTGGGACAGCAAAGAGGTTAAAACCATATTGGAGTAAGACGCCAAAGGACTGGCACAGCAACATCTGCAATCCACACTCAACAAGAACCTAGCACATGCTTACAGGCAACTTGAGCTAGGTAGTCCGGTTAGAAAGCGACAGCAAGAACACCGCTCGCATTGGGTACCAGGTCGTTTAAGGCTTTCGGCCAGAAGGCTTTCGACTCAACTTATCAATTATAAACAATGTACCATTAGTACATTGGGTCCAGTAGCTACAGTTTTGATCACCGAGAATTGATGAAGCGTGGGAGATACAACTAAGCATTTGGAGGTGAAGGCATCCTCAGTCAGTTCGGGATCTGAGAAGCTACGATCGTAATTGACTGTGTAATCGGGCCATTCCGCCCATGTCACTGACGAATTGAGTTCTGGGGTTCCCATCCAGGGAGGCGATGGTTTCCATAGTTAACAGATCGTAGACTGTCCACACAACAAAGGGCAGTGCGAAGTGGACGGTGAAAAAAATCGTCCAGCTGCAGCATCCTTTCAATGCCTAGCTACCATGCCACCCGAAAGTTGCACGGGGGCTGGGATACTGCCATACTGCCCAAGCCTAGACAGGGGAAGTCGACAGGCAGAGGTCGGGTTCGAACCACGAACCTTCTGGTCAGTAAATTCGCGCTCTAACCACTTGGACCATCTCGCCCCCCTGTACGTGTAAACCACGATGGCCTGACAAATCTCATTGGCTGTGTTAATGATGCTGCTTTCTTCCAGGTTCTCGTGTAGGTGCCACTTCGTTTCTGCTCAAGTGTATTACGAATGCAGTAGTGATAAGAATTTCGAAGGCATTTAAGGTCCACAGATGGGAGGAGTCGAGTTTCACAAACATAAACAATGCTGTTGAAGTTACCTGGCGAACTCAACAGAGGTTACCTGTTAAGGAGTTGAAACATTCGTTGGATGGTTCGTAGTTCAAGCATAACTCTGGCTTTTCAACTACCGTTCCATATGCCAGGGCAACTAGAAGCATATCAGCTCCCACGATGCCTTGGAGTTGTAAGGTTGCTGTGCTCCGAGGGAGTGCTACGGCTGAACCATTTTCCCTCTTTTTACGATAAACTCGAACATACAGTTTTCAGCCTAATCAGACCACGTCCTTGGAGCTACAAAGACCGCAAGTTGGTTACCGACACTATAGTCTTGCCAGCGTGTACGCTGACCTCGAGTATCACGGCAAAATCACGGCTCACGCAGCCCCCAGGGTCATTAAACTAATTTCATTTTAGGCTTTTCATTCTGAGTCTCAGGAGAGTGAGAACCGAAGCAAGGCTCCTATCTTCGAAGGTACCAAATGCATGTCTACAGACCACCTCAGCTACTCAATTTAGATATTGTAAGGGCCGGTGACCATCCAGTAACAAAACAATGCTGTCTATACAATCCAAATCAACTAATCGTCCTTGAGAAACAACTTCGATTCCTACAATCCAAGTCCTTCGGAGTGTGCATCGCATGTTCATGTCAATACAAAACTGAGTAAAAGTGATACTGGAAAGAGGCTTCGGAGAAAACAAATAATTGTGAGAAACCTTTTGAACGGATTATTGTGAACCCCAAAAAGACCAGATGGTATGCCGCTTTGGATAAGGTCGCAGGAAGCATATTTATAGTCGTCCATACTTGTTCAAAGACTAGACCAAAGGACAAGTTGACGAGATAGGTTTAAGATGCAGTGAACGTCTGGTGACCTATTTCTAACCAGGGTCTTGGTTGATACAACAAGCGGGTCTTCCTGAGTGCCCGTCTTAATGGACGGTTTCGCGTCAAGAGAGGCTACCTAGAGCAACATTGAGAGGGTAAAGATTACTGAGAATGTCGCAAACCGTGATGTACTCTCGGTTCTATCGGTGCGCAAGTCACGGCCGAATCAAAGGTGCGCTTACCTTGTACATGTGGCCAGCGCCATCGCATTGGCCTCGTACACAAGCCCGGATTTTACGGCATCCTCAAACCACTCTTTGAACTGCTTTAGGGGTTCAAGGGACTTCAAATCTGTAAGGTCAAAAGTGTCTTCGCGTGTTCTGTATGGAATCCTGATGTCTTGCGCTCAATAAAAGGGGTAGGCAAGCGAGAAACCCACGTGCAATGCTTAGGTTGGATGTCATCCTGGCGAATGAAAAAATCGCCAGCCTGTACGTCCTCATCGTTAGCATAATGAAACAAACGTTCGGCAGGTTCCGAAGGACCACAGACAAGTAGTATGAAGGCATTTGTCCAAGCTTTCCAGGCCCGTTTTATTCGATTCGCTCACCAATCTTAGCCCCTATCCTGACAGGAGAAAACGAAAAAGGGCTGTACC